CCCCCACTGGAAACCATATACTCTGTTCTTGGTGTTAAGGCCCACTGTGTCAAGTTAATGTCCCCAGGCATTCCCCAATGCAAGTCCATCCACTTGTGGTCAGTCAGATCACTCTCCTCTGTCTATCCAAACACCTATCATTTTCTTTTTTTTCTTAACAGAGCGAAGAGTGGGGGTTTATTTACAGAGGAGTGGGTGCCCCTCCCCATTTATGGCTGCACTGGAAAGTCCACACACAAATATAGATCCTGTGACTTCCCTACAGCCACAGAAAATGGTGAGAGGTGCCTCCTGGCATTCTTGGTTATATAGCCTCAGCCCCTTCCCAACATGTCACTAAGGTTGACTGATTGGGTGGGAGGGGTAACTGACTCCCCTTTCGACTCCTTGATGAGCATGGGAAGGAGATGTGACTATAGCTTGCTGGCATAGTGGTTGGAGTACAGTTCCAGATAACACTCCACCCCTTCCTCTGGCTCTTACATTCTTTCTGCCAACCTCTTCAGCAAAAGTCCCTGAGCCTTGGAGGAGGTGGTAGGTGTGAGATGATCTTTCTCCTATTGTGGCAAGGCACTGAACTTTCAGGTCTCTGCGTTATCAGTTTTCCATGGGCTGTTGACCCATTTCAGTGGGATTCTATCTACTATAAAAACACAAACAGCAAGAAGAACATCTAAACAGTGGCTGCTATATTAACTTAACCTATAGGTGTAAACACAAATGCTTGGACAGTACTTTAGCAGGTGCATCACATCCGTCAAAAAAAAAAAACAATTGCAGTGGCTTTCCACTGGGGCCTATAGTCCCCCCTGCCACAGGGGGTTGGTCTGGTTTACAGAAGCAGATGTGTGTTCCACCCCAAGGATCTGGCATTATAGCCAATCAAAACTTTGCTGGTTGTAGATGCTCCACTATTGCACCGGCAGGAACATCTTGTTTGGTATGTTGATAGTGCACCTCTTCCTCTAGTTATAAAGCCACTAGTTCCATGAGGTGCCTGCCCCATGACTTCATCCAATCCTGATTTCCTACCAAATACCTCTTAATACCATTAACATAGAAATCTTGGAATTAAGGAAGAACCTTTAAATTGTTCAGGAGAAAAGGAAGATTGCAGGGGAAATTAGAACCAGGGTAAGGAGTGTGACTAAGACCATGTTGAAAGTGAAAGATGGATTGTATTTATTTATCTCTTGTGTTGACTTCATATGCTAAGGAGCCAACCCTAAGGTGGCTGTGATAAAACTTGTTTCAGAAGCTTTTGTTTACCTCATATGCTAATGAGTGAAGCCACCTACGTGACTGGTACTGATAACATGCCAATGGTGCTGAAATGGACATACAAAGAGACTGCCAATGTACTGCTTTCAGGAACACACTGCTGTACCCCAAGAACACGGCACCCAACACCTTGGCTGATTTCACCCATTGATTTAGAGGATCTTGAAAGCCACTGTGTAGCTATAGCTTTGGTGACCATTGATCTTCTGGCACTTTAACTGAGTCTGCACATACCAACTTCCATGACCTCCATGACCTCTGTGCCTTCCTCCAAAACATCTTGAAACTTCAGGATGTGCTTTGCTCAGGAACAGTGCTGTCTTGGAACTTGCTATGTAAACCAGGCTGCATTGGCAAGACCCTGTCTCAAAATTAACAATAATAATTAGAATGAAAACTGCCTTTAGTTTTAATGTGCCTTCTAGCCTTTCTACTGTGTGGGAACAAAGCCTTCCCCTCCTCTAGAGGATACAGCAATAAGACATCAGCAATTGTTTGTGTCAACTGAACAAAACCCAAAGTTATCTGGAAGATAGGTCTCTGAGCATACCTGTGGGGGATTATCTTGATTGCACCAATTGAGGTGGGAAGATCGTTCATGGTTGGTGGCACCATTCCCTGGATGGGGTCCTGGACTGTATAAAGGGAGAAATGGAGCTGACCAGCAGCACACCTTCACCACTGTTTCTGACTGTAGGTGCAATGTGATCAGCTGCCTCAAGCTTCTGTCACCTTGACTTCCCTACCTTGACTATACACTTGAACTGTGAACTAAAATAAGCTGTTTCTCCCTTAAATTGCATTTTACCACAGCAGCAGGAAAAGTAACTAAGGCAGTACCATTTTGGAAACTTGATCTTAGATTTCTCAGCTTTTAAAACAGGAGGCAGTACTTCCTCCTATTAAACATGCCCTGTTGGAAGTTAGGGCTGTGGCTCACTTGTTCATCCCACTCCATGAAAGCTTCCAGTTCAATTTCCAGTTGTAAGAGTCATCAAGCTGTCAAGGACAATATATGCAGTCTGAACTTCCCTAAGTGGAGAATTTGGCCTGTCTTGCCAGTTGAAATCCTTCCTGAATTCCCATTACTTACCAAGCAAATTCTGCTATTTTTGACAATTACCCTGTTCCTAGCCCCAGCCACCAAAGGTTCTTAAGTTCCTCACAGAAACTGTTTTCAATTCCCTAAGGCCAATGAAAAGACCAAGGTGTTATGGAGGAATATGGCGTTCTCGGGAGTTTTACAGGTGCCTTGGAGGATTTACAAATATTCAAATAGATTCATTTCAGATTCTTGCTTCCTTTTGTTCCTAGCCAGTGTAAGTATCAAAGGGAAAGGGGAACATCAAAGAAGCTCGGGCTGTGCCCTGCAGTTTCCTTTTTAATCTTCTATCACCAAAAAAAGGGCCAGCACTTTCTTGAGCTCTGAGTACTGGAGATATCATATACCTTGAGTGGACATTCTGCTTGCTGCTTTATGATCCTCTATCCTACAAAACAGCATTCTTTGAATAGGAGCCAAGAATAGCACACTGCATTGGAGCATGCTTAGGGCCATGCCCTGTGCAAGGTGAGCTCTTTCCTTGTGAGAGAAACAGCCAATCACAGGCCTGCAGTGGCAGTCTTGATCTGAGGCAATCTCTTCCTTCACGCTAAGCTCACAACAGTGGATGTGTTGCCTCATCTAGTACAGTGCTAAATATAATCCAGTTTATTCAGGCTCCATCAACATCCTTCTTCCAGTTGATTCCAAGAACAGGTTTGTGGATAACTACATATGTGTCTCAGACAGATAACAGCCACAATTGGCACAATTCATGGCCCATAAAAGAGAAGTCTATAAATAGCAGTCAAGATTTTTTAAGTGGCAGACCCAACAACTAGGCCAATGGCAATAGCCAAGTGTTCAGTAAAATATGCGCTCTATAAGTGGAGTACCAGTTCAGGGCTCTGCAAACAGGTTGCATGATAGAATATGTGAATTGCAGAAGAGTCACAAGCCTCATTAGGGAAAGCCATAAATTCCTTGAAGTGTCTAACTGGCCCTAAATTGGCAGCCTGGCCTTTCAAGCCTGGCCTTTCTCACACCTTATCAGTTGGTCACTCCCTGGACTGAGAGAGGCTGTTTGTGGAGCCCACCTGTCTCCTTTAGTGCTATATAACTCACCCGCCTGTCTGAGGGAAGAGACCCTCAAGGACACCAGACCCTGGCACAGAGTTAACTCTTGCAGCTGTGCAGCAGAGTTCCTATATAAGACCAGACTGCTCCCTGTTCAGAGCACAGATAATTATCCCTCGAGGAACAGCTTTTATCAGCCCTTTGCCCTCCTGAATCCAAGGAGCACATTCCTTGCCTGTTGCAGGTCTGGCTCCTTCCTTTTTCCCACCTCCTAAATCTAACATTGTACATACTGGGCAGTAACAGCCACTGCTTCTGTGACTTGTGCTTGTGTGACTGCTTCTGAGAGTGAACAGCCACCCAGTGAAGATCATCAGATTTCATCTCAGTTGAGCTGTCAGTGAACCAGAAGAAACTGTGAGTTAAGGTCCCCACTAAGCCTGTGGCTTTGCTTGGTGAACTATGGATCCATTTTTCCCTAAAGTGCTAGATGCCAAATTTTTAATGTAAGGTTGAGATTGTCACCAGGGCCTGGCTAACTATATTCTAGAAAATTCACTTCCACTTTACAAGTAGGACTTTCAAGAATCAGGTACTCTCTGGGATTTGTTTTGTTTTGTTTTGAAGATTGGGTGCAACAACATTGCCAGGCTGGCCTTGAATGTACAATTCTTCAGCTTCCTGAGTACTGGGATTACAGGCATGTACCACCAGACCCAGCGAAGTACTCTATTTTAACAAGAGCCCAGATAGTAAGCTTTGAAAAGGGATTTACCTGGTCGCTGTGTCAGGGACCTATTAAACCCCAAATCCTCAGGGATACCTCTGGCTAAAATCTACTTCCCTCTGCCAGAGGCTAAAATTAGCAAAATTATCAATTGCAGAAACTTCCTAGCTTTTTAAAGAGAGTTCTAGGGTTGTTGGGCCCCAAAAGAGAGCGACCCACAGCTTGGTGAACTGTTTCCATACAGCCTGTTGGTCTGAACACTGCTCAAAGGGCGATTTGTAGAGCTGCCCTTAAAAGGACCAGGGAGGATGGGAAGTGAGGCACTGGAACCCAAGGTGCTGGGCCTGCTGTGTGGAGTGTTGGTGGTAGAAGGGTAAGGAGGAGACAGCAGCGCTTCCTGCTAGAAGGACTCAGCTTCATCAATCTGCTCAGTCTCAAGAAACAATTTTATCAGAGATTATCAGTCATCTCTGTCCGTGGTGGTGTCAACACCGCGTCAAATCAAAGCCTGGAAGACCTGCCTCTCTGGCTGCAGGGTGGGACAGAGCATACAGGAAAGACTAGAATCTTCCTACTGAGCACCCTCCTCCTTCCTATGGACCATCTCCCTCACTTCAGCCAGTTGCTGCTCCCACCTCCGCCAAGACCCAGTCTGAGTTCTACAGCTCTTCTACAGGCATTGCCTGTCCAGGCCTTGCCCAGCATTAAGGCTTGACTGAGGCCTGGAAGGCAGAAAACTATATTCCAGTCCCAACTAAAACCAGATGTGTCATGTCAAGGGCCCGGATTTCCGTGTGGTTGCTAAGAATTTAGGGAGGCAGGAACTCTGCAGGTTAACAGCTTCACAAAGACGAGCCAAGGTTGCCACCACTGTGCAGTGAGAATATTTATTGAGAATGGCTCATTACAAACAAAATATATTTATGTATAAAATCCTCTGCTATGCAAAAGATCCCTTTCATCCCCGTGGCTAGAGTGTACAGCCATCCGCTGTCCCATGCGGCCTCAGAGGCTTCACTGGGCTGCAGGACAAGCTCGGCAGTTGTAGGTACCACATGCTGTGGGCAAGTCCCTGATGTCACAGCTTTCTCTAGCCCATTTTCATGACCTCTACAAGAATACAACACAGTGTGGCTTACATCCTGCCTCTACGTCCCTCCTCAGGCAGATGGATCTCGTAGATAGCAGCTGTCTTATTACTCTTACAGACAGGAGGCCTCTAACTTGTAACTTGCCCTGAGAAGTCATTGTCTGAGTCCAGGGACTGAGTATTTTTAAATATCCTAGAGAAGGTGACCACCTTCATTGGAAGCCACTTCCCATGACCACCCACCAGCATGCCTCATCACATCCAATTATCATAAAGGCTTTACTTCCTCCCATCAGGTATCCTCACAATTTTACCGATCCTCTCCTGAGGACACCCACACCCCATAGCTGTTATGCAGTACTCCTAGGCTTGGAGCCAGAGTTCCCTAGAGCCTTAGGTCACCCAGCATTAAGGCAATGGAAATGAGACCAGACTGAAACCAATACTAATCTCTGAAAGCCAGGCTGGCTACCTAGCCAAGAGCACTTCCCTCCCAGCCTAAGGCTGCATCTGGTATTGAGTAATTTCGGTGAGTGGTCTGACTGACCTTGTAAACACAGACCACCTCTGTCCCTCAGAACTACCATGCTCAGGGAGGGGCCAGCTAGTGGTGGGGGAAACAGCTGCTACCATGTCACGCCTTGGGCACTGAAAGACTAAGGCCCCAGGAGTACAGGGATAGTGAAGCGTTGGGGTACCCCTGCTTCTTTGCCAGAGGCATCCTATGAGGAGTGAACTCCCCTAGTCTCCGTGAGAATGACCCATTTCCTTGTTTCTTTGGTGCAGACCTGGGTTCAAGACCCAGCTCTACCATTGCCCTGGGCAAGCCTCCTCCAGGGGCCAGCCTCTTCCTCTGTAAGGTGAGGGGCCCCTCAGGCTGCTGGCCAGGCAGTTTTCATATTAAGAACTTGTACTGACTTATCTGCCCTATGAAAAGAGGTGTTAGTGGTTCCAAAGTACCTGTAATCTATTATTGTCTTACTCCCTGCAAGCTGAAAATTTAAATCTCAGTAAAATAAATACCCTTGCTATCAAGAGCATAAGAGGAAGGAACCAGCTCCAATTGGTGCTACGTGAAGTGCTGTATGATCCTTGCCTTTCTTCATCAGGACTGAAGACCCAGTATTCTGTGCAAATGGTCCTGGTATAAAAACCAGGGTAGATGGGTGGCTACAGGCTGTCGTCCCCTGGTCATCGTTTTAGGAGGACAGGCCCTCTAGCACCCATCCTCAAGAGATGTGGGGCTCCCACACTTAGAGGACAAATACCACTGTGGGAATTTAGGCTGGTGTCAGAAGGCCTCCTGGGCACAGGGGCTCTCTGGGGCCTCAGCAGCACTTTATTCCTGGAATATTCTCTCTGCTGTCATTCACTGGACCCAGCTCACTGCTAAAGGCTCTCCATTCTATAGAACCGAGGTACCTAGATGCTAAGAAAGTCCCAGCATCCCAGGGGTCAGGGAGCCAGAGTGGCTGTAAAGTGTGCCTATGTTGCATAATAACAAGGCTTCATAATCAGAGAAACTTGAGTCCACTGAGACAGAAGAGAGTAGTGACTCCACCATGTGGCAGCAAAATATTGGGGCTTAGAGTGGCCCTGTGCCATGGGCCTGGGTTTGGATGTGCTCTCCCCAAACACAGAGATGCTGTCCTAAAGAGTGGCATCAAGATAAGTGACCTCTCCCAGGACTCAGTCCGCAGAGAGACTGACTCTAGCTTCTTCTCTTGCTTTGGACACAGCTAGAGTCAGACTTAGGGTCTTGAGAGAGGCTCTTAGAATGCCTCCAGCAACTAGCAGGTGCTTAGGGTAAGTTGCATAATGACACATAGCACTGGAGGACAAAGCAGCCATGTCACAGAGTACCCCAGGGCCTTGTCAAACAGGCTGAGGCTACGACTGGGCATCCTAGCCCCAGCAGCCCTGGGCCTACGTATCCTGAGTGGGCCTGGCTGGGGTAGGATATAGGGTCTGAGGGCCTGGCAAGCCAGGCTCCTGCTGTCAGCTGTCCAGGTAGACAAAGAGGATGTCTTCATCTGTGCCATAGCTGGTCCTGGCCTCCTCGAAGTTACTGATGCTGGTGCTGCACATTCCTGCTGGGTGTGGAAAGGGCAGAGTAGGGTCAGTAAGTGGAGGAAATACCCACCCTGCCAGCACCCAGCTGTGTCCTACCTGTCTTGGCTCAAGTTTTCCACCCCCAGGAAACTTTTCCTGCCTATTCTGGCTTTCAGGAGCTCTTTCTCTGACTCTTCCCCAGTTTAGAGGATGGAGAAACTGAGGCCTAGAAAAATCGAGAAATGTGCTCCAGGCCGGAGGTGGTAGTACACGCCTTTAATCCCAGCACTCAGGTAGGGGCAAGACCAGGCCAGCCTGGTCTACATAGCAAGTTCTAAGACAGCTGGGGCTACAGGGAGACTCTGTTTCAAAAAAAGAAATATGCTGACCACGAAGTCTAGTCAGAGAAGCCCTTTGTCATGCCCAAGACCCTAAGGGCAGTGGGCACTCTGGAACAAGGGGAAGGTCTAGCCAGACTTTTCAGCCAGTGTACTGGCTGTCCTGTGAGGACTAGGACAGGACTACAGCATATGCAGCATAGATCATCAAGGTGGGACCCCAGCAGAGGGGTGAAGCTGGTGGTGTAGGAGGAGGGGTAGCTGGAGGTCTGGGCAGCAGCAGGTTTTTAGCTGGTTTGCAGTGTGGCCAGGACAGCCTAAAGACAAGAACCCAGGAAGAGCAAAGGCTTCAGAAAGAAGAGAGGGAGGGAGGGAAGGAGGGAGGGAAGGAAGGAGGAATGCAGAGAAGGAGAGAGGGAAGGAGGGAGGGAGGGAGGAAGGAAGGGAAGGAATGAGGGAAGGAAGGATATCTTGGTCATATCCATACCATGTTGAAGGGAGAAAGTTGTGGGGTCTGGGCATAGGGGATAGTAAACACAGACCACCCTGACCCACGCTGCCCTCAGCACTCACGGTCAGCATAGGCTGGGTTGTTGTAGAAGATGCAGCCAGTGGTCCTGTTGTAGCCACGCAGAACGATGAAGTGGCCCTGGTAGTCAGGAGTACGGCAGAAACAGCGGTGGCCACGGGGGGTAAAGCAGCAGTACTTGACTGGGCTGGAGCACAAGTCACAGTGCAGCACCCCTGAGTTCACCAACACAATGGCCACATGGCCCTGAGCCAGGTGTGCTTGGATGTCCTGCACGCTCACTGTGCTGTGGGTGGGAGAAGGGTTAGATATAGTGCCACTGGGCCTCATTTCCCATCTCCCAAGTTCATGGATCCCAGTTTTATGCACTCCTGGTATTAGAATACTTGAGGACCTGGCTTGTCTTCCCTCTGCCCTGGGCTCCCTCCAAGTAGGAATTCCCTGATTTGTCACAATGGTCTGGGTTCAGCCCTGCATCAAGCTCAGGTCCAGCCTTTGTGTGCTGGTGCTGGGGTATGGAGGTTTATTTATTTATTTATTTTTTTGTCTTTTTGAGACAGGGTTTCCCTGTAGTCCCAGCTGACCTGAACTTACTATCTAGACCAGGCTGGCCTTGAACTCACAAAGATCTGCTTGCCTCTGCCTCTCAAGTGCTGGGATTAAAGGCGTGTGCCACCATGCCCAGAATGGAGGTTCTTATAGAAGACATGGCCCTGTAATCGGAGAGCAACTACAGCAGCACCAGACCTTATTCTTAGCCTGGACAGTTAATTTTTACAAAGCTCTCATTTCTCCTTTACCCCAAATCTTGCATGGTTTACACTGGAAGTAGAAAGTGTTGCCTGGCACCATCCTGGAGGCTGGCTCGGCTGGGGGGAGCGGGGGCTGTCCCTTCTGATACCTTCTATAGGCAGAAAATTCAAGTGAAAGCCCAGAGGACAGAAGGAGTTGTGGGGGTACCCCAAAGACTCTGCTATCTTCACTGAGGGAGATGCTCACCACCCAGACCCTCCTTCAGTAATCTCCTCAGGAGTGGAAGCGTTCGCATCATGAGGCCTAGACACTTTGGTTTTGCTGCCTTACATTAGGAAATGTGCCATTTTTCCATTTGATCTCCGAAACAAAATATTGGCAGAGTTCCCAATAGCATATATAAAAGGGATTTCAGCAATAGGGTAAAAAGCAGGGCAGGCTGGAAGGGAAGCTGTAGCTTCATGGAACTGTGAGTGTGAAGATGCTAGATTCAGATCACAGCACAGCTACATGCTGGGGTGACCAGACACACCTCTCCTGTTGCCATCTCGTCCCTTGAGAAGGCAAGGGCTTCCCATTCGGTGACAAGACCTGTAGAGAATCCCTAAATAAACCTTTGCCTTTCCTTCCATCACATACTTAAATGGCCAAAGGACAAGTAGATATTTGTCTCCCCAGGTTCCAATTCATCTACCATGTGGCTAATGGTATTAATAGAAAACCATAAATCTGCCGAGTGTGGTGGCGCACACCTTTAATCCCAGCACTTGGGAGGCAGAGGCAGGCAGTTCTCTGTGAGCTCAAGGCCAGCCTGGTCTACATAGAGAGTTCCAGGACAGCTGGGGCTAGAGGAAAAGGAAAAGACAAAAAAAAAAGGAAAAGAAAAGAGAAAACCATAAATCTGTAAAGAAATCTGAGAGGAATGGTCCCAGGAAGCCTAGCCAGGGACTAGAGGCTTTACAGTGAGCCCAGGGAAGACTATCACGCACTGTGGGGAACCCAGCCCCTAACATATGGCTAAGAACAGGGAGGCCCTTGTAATGTGGTGGGGTAACCCAAGATTGACCATAGCTATGCTATGTTATAAGCAGGCCCCATCTAAACCCAGTAGTTAAAGCTAGAAGCAGTTAGCTCAAATATGGGAGTGGAAAAGTTTGACCCAGCTGCACCAAGGTGTACCAAGGTGTGGATTTGAGAACAGGTCTTTGGCGTGCACCTGGTGGTTCCTGCTAACAGCAGGTTTATGGCTTCTGTACTTGCCGCTCGGCTCGCTCTTGCAGAATAGAGATTGTTCTCTTGCAAAATAGAAATTGTTAGGGGGGGTTTCCACCCCTAAGCTTGGGAACTTAAACTTTTCACCCCTGGATATGGTTTTTCTGTATAAAAGCTTAACCTAAAAATGGCTCAGGGCTGTACTTGGGACTTAAATGCCCAGTGTAGTCACTGGCCTGGCTACAAAGACTTTCTTTTGGCAATTTTCTGTGTCTAAGTGGTCTTACCTGGTGAGACAACCTCAAAACAGTAAGGTCACAATAGCAGGTTCCCTAGACAGCTACTCAGTCACACTGACAGCACATTCCTCAGGCCATCACTCCTACATTAGGTCTTCTGTGTTCTGTCCCATGCCGTCATCCTCTGAACAGTTCAAGAGAAACCACCCCAGGCTACAACCTGGGTTATGGCCCCACTGAGCTCTACTATATGGATGAAAAAACCCACCAAGGCTCAGGGGGGCAAGTCAGTGCTCAGTTCTACCTAAGTCCACACTCCCAGCCTTTCCCAAATGCCATCTTGAGGCCTCCCCACTGTGTCACCAGAAGAAAGCAGCCATATGAGGACAGGTGAGGAGGGAAGGCTCACCATTTCTCCACCAGCACCTTGCAGGTCTTGGCTTGTGCGAACAGCTGGTTAACCCTGGTCTCCTCTGTGTCAAAGTGCTTCCTGTAGAAGGACTGAAGAGAGAAGAGCAGGTGGAGTGGTCACCCATCCTGGCTGCACTCACCCCACTAGATGAAGCAAAGATCATGTTAGAAGAGGTAGCAAGAAGGCAGAGGAGCTGGGCGTGGTGGCACATACCTTTGGTCCTGGCACTTGGGAGGCAGAGGTAGGTGAATCTGTGTGATCAAGGCCAGCCTAGTCTACATAGTGAGTTCCAGGTCAGCTGGGACTACAGAGAGACCTGTCTCAAAAAAAAAAAAAAAAAAAAAGGCAGAGGAGCCCTACTTCAGGACAGGTGGCATGTGCCTACCATGTCCAGTAAGAAAGCTGTGTCTGTTCCTGGCTGAGGAGCGGACAGACAAGTATGAACAGGAGGCTCGAGACAGGTGATGACATGAAGACCTTAGGCCAGCTCCCTAGGGAAGATCAGCTGGTAGACATGAACAGTAACCTAAAGCAAATGAGCAAGGAGGGCAAGGCTGCCCTCCCAATTCCCACTAGATGGTTCAGCCAGCCAGTATAGCCAAGAATGACCCACAGAACTTTGCTTGGCACAGGGACCTCACATGATCAGAGCCCCAGGAGGCAGGCCAAAGACATTCTGTTCTCAGGCCCCTTTTTCAGCCTTAAGATTTAGTAGCCTTCTTCCCCTGGTGTGGAAAGTTCAAAGGAGAGTTACAAGGTCTGGCACTGGGCCCCTGTGACAGCCCTTTGCCAACAAGGCTAGTAGAGACTACTTTGCCAACTTTTGGAGCCTGGGCAAGATCTGCCTGAAGGGCAGGTAAGCCTGGCTCTGGCTTTGCAAGGAGACAGAATTCACTGATGTGTTGGCACAGCCATCTATGATGGCATTATTTTTCAAGAGAAGAAAAAAAAAGAAATACATATCAGTTTTTCTTCCAGAATAGCAGTCACCTAGCTGAGACCTGGCTATCCTGCTGAGAAAGAAGGAATGGAGCAAGTGATAGTCACATAAGATCACAGTGATGTGCTCTGCAGCCTGGGCCTGTCTTGTCCTAGAGAGTGCAGAGAAGGATGCAGAGGGCAGATACTCCTTTGCTAGAGAAGGCAGGCAGGAGTCCAGGATTCAATGCTTGGATGCTCCGGGCAGGCCGGACCTCAAAGCCGTCTGCCAGCACGTTTATCTACCACCTAGTCTCTGTATACCATGTTTTCACTTTAGCGTTCAAGCTTTGAGCATTCTCTAACCGATACAACTGGGTAGCCTATGCCTCTGGGTGCCCATGTGTAAGAAGACCCAGGGGTTAGCTGCTTACCTGGTTCTTATAACCCTTGTCAACACCCAGAGTCTGGGTACAAAAGCGGTGTCTCACACCAAAGTGGCGCATCAAGTAGGCCAGATCGATGGTCCAGATGCTTCTGGTCAGTTGCAGCTCCTGCAGGGCACTCTCAAACTCCCGGTCGTCCAGCTGGCCCAGGTACCTGAGCAGAGGGCAAAGAGATTAGCTTGCTCTTGAGGCAAAGCTAGACCACATTACCCTCCATCTGTGGGCCCAACAGCCACCATCAGTACTTCTGATCTTTAGGAGCCTCTTTCCTTTATCATAACCCCACATCATGCCCATGTATACCTGAGCCCAACCTGAGGGCTTTCAGGGCTTAGACTGCCTGGGACACTGTCTAGTGCCACAGTCAAGGGCCTCAATTCTGTTTCTTGCATTTCTCAAAGACTGTGTGAACTTGGGCAAGTTGTTCGTCTCTCTGGCCTTCCTGATTGCATCTCTAAGATGAGGCCCTTGGATCATAAAAGTGGTTTCCAAAGTTTTAACAACTGAACACTTTTGTTAAGCTTCATCTTTCCAAGAATTCCAGAATGTAAGACAGATAAAGGATCTAGGTCTCCAGACAGCCAATTAAAAACTCTTGTACAGGTGAGAGCAATGGTCCCTTCTGGCTCTTTCAGGGTTTTTATATCTATGTAGCATCTCAGTTAGCATGAGGTTGGAGCAGTAGAAAATGCCCAGCCTGGACATATGAAACTTCTTTGGTCATCCCAAGCTCCTAACCATTAGCAGAGCACCCAGGTCACTTCTTGTTTCACCCTGGAGCCACAGAAGGTAGTGTGGACACTCACTGCAGCACCATCCTGGAGCAGGCCAGGCCACAGTCCCAGTGGTAGAGCTGCTGGATGACGGGCACAGGCAGCTGCACAAAATCTCCTGTACAGAAACAAGAGGGAGGTCTCAGAGCCTCTGCACAGTGCCCACCATTGCCACCCCCACTGGAGATGCCATTACAGCCTTCTGCTGAGACTCTACAGGGCCCTTCCCACAGCCCTTTATCTTATACCAAAATCTTCTAGTGTGCTGGTTCCCATGCCTCTTTAAAACAAAACATTCATGGTCACGTGCCAGAGAGCTTTAATGCCAACCTGACACATCTGGGTTGAGGGAGCCTCAATTGGGGAAATGCCTTCATTGGACTGGCCTGTGGCCTGCCTGAGTTCCTAACTTGGGCTCCCTGATGAACTCTGACCCAGGATATGTAATATAAAATAAATTCTTTCCTCCCCAAGTTGGTACTGGTCAGAGTATTTTGTCACAGCAACTCAGAAACTAGAACAGAAATTGGTACCAGAGAGTGGAATACTGCTGTGACAGACCCCCACATTGGAGGATTGTAGAAGCATTTGGAACTTTGGCTGGAAAAGCCATTGCGTGCTTAGTTTGTTGCTGTGGAGCTTGGAACAGTTATGTTGAAAGAGTTGTGGACGATGGAGGCCTGGCTTGTGAAGCTTCAAAGGGAAGCGGAGACTAACAGGGCTGTTCCTGTGATATTATGAAGTGAGAATCTGTGGGTTCTGGTTGGCTGGAGCTGAAGAATCAGCTGTGATTAAGAAGAGACCAGAACCTGAAGGAAAACCTTTGCTTTACTGGGACAATTGATGCTGGTTAGCTGGGGCTGAAAAATCAGCTGTAAGTAACAAGAAACCAGCATCACTGAGGTGAAATCTTCTGGGAGGTATTTCCTCAGGGTCAGCACACAGAGGGGACCCAAGCCTCCATCTCAAGCTGGAAGAAGGACTTGGTAATGTGTAAGAGTCTCCTGAATGGTTCTGGTGTTGAAAGCGTGAAGGGGTCACAGAGAGCAGCTGAGGCTTGGCACTCTGAGAGGCCAGGAAAGGTCATAGGTAAAAGTAAAAGTGCAGCTCCAGTTGCAGTGAAGACCACAGGATCAAAGGGGTCATGGAGAGAATGAGGCTTTGCACCCCAAGAGTCAAGAGGCCATTGGTGAGGTTGTAGCCTCAGTTTCAGTGGAGACCCCAGCTTTTTGGAGATGCCGGGACCATGGGACGACCACCAAGGACAGCAGTAGGTGTGGAATGCAGCTGGCCTGGGTCTGTGAGATGAGCTGTGTGTGCTGTGGACTGCAGAGTCAGAGCAGTGGAGCTGCCAGAACTCTTTGGAGCCCAGAAGATCATGAGTGAAAGTGAATCCCAGATGCCCAGCCTTGAGCTTCTTTGTTGGACTTCAGGTTTGTTTAGGTGTACCTGATTCTCCCCTTTGAAATAAGACATTACTTGTTTTGGATTTTACAGAAGCCCACCCACAGTTAAAGAGACTTTTAAAAAAGACTATGGACTTTTAAGTGTTTGGATTTTTTTAAGGACTGTGGGGTTTTTAAGGTTGTACTGTCCTTGTGTTGTGATATTAATATTAACATCATATCTTGGGGACAAGAATTGGAAAGGTTATGGTTTAATAGTGATGTATTTGTGTCAAGTTGACAAGGGGTCAATTGTGCTGGATAGCTTTAGTATGAACTTGACACACCTGGGTTGAGGGAGCCTCAATTGGAGAATTGCCTTCATTGGACTGGCCTGTGGCCATGTCCATGGGGCACCTTCTTGATTGTTGAGTAATGTGGGAGGGCCCAGCCCACTGTGGATGGTGTCACCCCTGGGCAGGGGGACCTGTGTTGCATAAGAAAACAGGTTGAGCAGGGGTCAGGGGAGCAAGCCAGTAAGCACTGTTCTTCCATGGTCTGTGCTCTAGCTCCTGCCTCCAGGTTCCTGCCCTGAGTTCCTACCTTGGGATCCCTGATGATCTCTGACTCAGGATATGTAATATACAATAAACCCTTTCCTCCCCAAGTTGGTACTGGTCAGAGTATTTTGTCATAGCAACTGAGAAACTAGAACAGTCACTATCTCAATAAGGTCGGCTTCCTCCTCATCACCAGGCTCTCTTCCAGGCAGAATTCTCTTCTGCCATGATCCCTCACAGTTGAGCAGGGAGTGTCTTGCACACCATTGCCTGGACATTTTTGGCTTTCCAGAAACTAATGCCTGCCCATAGACTTCACTCCTCTGAAGTGCTGCCGCTTTCAGACCCAGTCACACATTGTATATGCTCATAGCCCCCCATACCTCTCATTAAGATGTTCTGGGAGGAACTGAGGAAGCAGGGACTTTGCTTCCTGCTTTCATACCATGGCTGGGCCACAGGAGGCACTCAGCAGAGTGCTCGAGGAGGTCTGCCTGACACCAAAGCCTCCAGGAGAACCAGCATGGGAAGACCATGGTTAGGAGAAGGGAACTGTCGTACAAGCCGCATAAGTAGAATGCAGTGCTCTGTCTAGCACTGTCCCCATGGTCTGCCCTTTCCAGGCTGTGAAGTGAAACAGAATAGGCCACACACAGGTATTGTAGTCCCACTGGCTGGTTGGGGGTTGGGCAATTATCTTCCTTGCACTGGACTGAGTTTGGTCATTCCTAAAGTGGGGGACTTTGGTCTGATTTGGTCAACCGACTGCAAAAATATTTTCTGAGCATCTGGCATGTGTACTTCAGTATAGTGACAACAATGACAAGGTCCGTGTCCCAGTGCATAGCAAGAACAAACAAATATAACAGATAATCAGCAACTTGGGCTAGGAAACGATGGGGTGTGCCTCAGAGAGGTGAGCCAGGAAGCAGAACACGGATGGAGAACAGTATGTGCTGAGGCCCTGAGGGAAGGACAAGCTGGCAGGAGCATGGCCTGGGAATGAATCTGCACAAAGTTCAGAGTCTAGATGGTAGCACACTCTTGAAACCCCAATATTTGGAAAGCTGAGGCAGGAGAGGCACAAGGCCAATCTGGTCTATATAACTAGGGCTGGTCAAAAAAAAGAAAAAGTCTAAAGAACCAGAGGGACCTCTCTCGCTCACTCTCTTAAAGATTTATTTATTTTTATTTATGTGTATGGGTGTTTTGCCTACAAGCATATATGGATATATGTACCAAGTATATGCCTAGTGCCTGCAGAGGACAGAAGGCACTGGATCCCCTAGAACTGGAGTTACAGACAGTTGTGAGTCACTATGTGGGTGCTGGGATCTGAACCCAGGTCCTCTGTAAGAGCTAGTGCTCTTAACCACTGAGCCAACTGTCCAGCCCCAGAAGGGCCTTCTCTATGCTGGTCACCACTTCAGTTCCTCAGGGCATGCCTGCTCTCCCCTCTATGAAATGGATCACCATGGAGCCAGCCCAGAGCAACTATATGCATAAAGCATATAGGTACTAGTGTAAACTGCCAGCTAGGGCCTGGTGTGCTAGGCCCAGGCAAGGACGAGGCTTTTTGCCCTTCTTGCCCCAGGCACCTCTAAACCTGTCTCCCATTCAAGGCCCATGCACTTGGCCTCATTCTACCCCTACCATGGATAAAGTCTTGCCTGTCCTCTTCCCAAATTCTATCCCATCATCTGCCCCTGCACACAGCAGCCAGAGGAATTTCATCTACAGTTTCTCATTACTCTTAAAGTTCTCAGGGCTGGGGAAATGGCTCAGTGGGTAAAGGCCTCAAGTGTGAGGACTGGAGTTCAGATCCCCAGAACCCATACCCACTTGTAATCCCAGCATGCAGGAAGTAGAGACAGGAAATCCCCAGAGGAAGCTGGCTAGCCAGACAAGCTGAAAAACTGTGCAAACTCCAGGTTCTGTCAGAGACCCTGTTCAACAGGTAAGGTGGAGAGAAATCAAGGAAGACATTTAATGACAACCTTGGGCCTCCACATGCATGTGCACACACAAGGATCCACATGCACAGGAACACACATATACATATGTACAATAGGAACATGCACATTCATATACAACAAAAATTAAAATAATGCTCTCTCAACATACTTTTCTTTTAAAAACAGAACAACAAATAAGCAGGGTTAAAAGCACACATCTTTAATCCCAGAATTTGGGAGGCAGAGACTAACAGTCTCTGTGAGACTGAGGTCAGTCTGGTCTACATATTGCATTCCAGACCAGCTGGGGCTATAGGAAGACCGTTTCAAAAAGACAAACACAAAATATAAAACCCAGGGTCTTATGTAGCCCAGGATGGCCTCAAACTTGATAGGTAGCCAAGGGAACCCTGAACTTCTGACCCTCCTACCTTTTCCTCCAGAGTGCTGGGATTACAGGCATGTGACACCACACCTGGTTTTATGTGGTGATGGGGATTGAACCTAGGGCTTCATGTATGCTAGGCAATCACTCTTATCAATTGAGCTAGATCTCCACCCCTCACCTTTTGCTATATTTTTCAGGTTCCTGCCCTACCTGGGTCCTCCACATTCACCTCAGTCCTCACTTGCTCTAGTTGCCCTCTGAACCCAGCAGCCTTAACTGCCTGAGGGATTCTGCACACGTGCCACCCTCTTCTCTACTGTTCTTGTCATTTGGGTCTCATCTCAAAATCTCCTGAGGTTTTTTCTGACTATGCCTTTGATGGGTGAGAAGAGCCCTCCTTCATAGCATCCTGTTTATTTCATTCAGTGCTTAGCAAAAGGAACAACATAAGAAGCTACTGTCACCTCATTAAATCGTAAGTTTCCTGAGGAGCAGGGCCATGATCTGAATGTGCATCTCCAACCAAAATTCATGCTGAAACATAAACCCCATGGTGGTGGCGGTAAGAAGTTGGGTCTTTGGGGAAGTGATTTGGTCATGAGGGCACTTATAAAAGGGTCAGAAAACCCATCTTAGGCCTTGTCTTAGTTTCCTTTCCAGGTGCTGAGATAAAACATCCTGACAAAAACAACTTAGGGGAGAAAGGGTTTGTTTCCACTCACAATTCCAAGTCACATTAATCATTTAGGGGAAGTCATAGCAGCAGGAGCCTGAAACAGCCAGTTATAACATATCTATAATCAGGAAGAGGGCAAGGAATGCATGTAGGCAGGCGTCTGGGTGATCCTTATCAGTCCAAGGCCCAGCCCAGAAAATGGTGCTGCCCACATTTAGGGTAAGTCTTCCCACTTAATTATCCCAGTTAAGGAAATCCCTCACTGGCATGCCTGCGGGCCAATCTTATCTAGGCAATTCCTCTTTGAGAGGGCCTTTCTCAGGTGACTGTCTGCAGATTATGTCAAGCTGACAAACATCTCAGACCTTTTTGCCCTCCTCTAATATCCTGCTGTGTAAGGACACCGTACTTCTTCTTTTTGCTTCCTGCCATGTGAGTGCATCTACATGGGATTGTCAATAAGGAATGGGTCTTTACCAGGCATGGAACGTGCCAGCACCTTGATGTTAGAATTCTCAGCCTCCAAAGTTTTGAGAAAATAAATTCCTATTTTTATAAACTATCCAGTTGCACAAATGGACTTAAGACATCAGAGAACTTGCTCATTTTGTTTGCTGTTTTTCCCATGCTTCGTGTCTGACACTTACCAATAATCATTATATCTGGGGCTGGACTTGTAGCTCAGAGGTAGAGTACTTGCCTAGTATTGCCAAGGCCCTAGGTTTGATCCCCAGCACTGCCCTCCTCCAAAAAAAAAATCATATTTAAGAAATTAATTTCATGTGAGGCTCTGATCACACCAAGGTGACTAAAGACCTAAACCTTGATCTCCAGGGATTTATATTCTAAAATGGTTCTCCCACAACATGCAGGGTAGAGAACTCTGCAGGGTATCATGCTATCACAGTGAGCACCTTCTCCTTTCAGAATCCTCATTATGACTGTAAATGAACTTTTGGTCTTATCAACTCTGGCATTACTTCCTGGGCTTTGTTTTTGCCTATTAGTCTGGAATGTTTCTCATTTCTTACATCTAAATGTTCTCTCCCTCCACACGCTCCTTGAGGTGGCATTTGCTTCTGGACAGCCTGAGAATTCTGTGATGGCATGTGGGGCCAAGGGTGCAATTACCTTCTCCCACCCCTCAGCCCACAGCCAGCATTCATGTATGCCTGTTGAACAGGAGTTTAAAAACAAAGCTTTCCCTTGGGAGGCCTACTTGTCACTGCAATGCCCATTGCCCAGGCTTCCAGATCACAGCCCTCTATTGAAGGCTCTCTCCTTACTCTAGTACTAACTAGTTGGGCTGTACCCTCCTGTTATACTGTTGTAAAATGTGCTACAAGACAGTTACTCCTTAGGGCCCTAGGAGATTAAATTGTCTCTCTTCTTCACAGAGCCCTAGAACCTCTTGATCCTGAGGTGTCACAGGACAAAGGTTTCCTGTTAGGCCATCCCCATCTTGGCACAGGCAAGATGTTCCTTGGAGCGTAGGTGATAAGGGTAGGCAAGGCCTTGGTATTTGTCGTGATAACAGTTTTAGCCTTCAGAGCCCCAAACTGCTGCCAGATGTTGATGCCTGAAGCCAAGGCATTACCCCACCTGAGAGCTAGGGTCTGCCAGAAGGCCCTAGCCCAGCTTCAGTTTGTGGCTGTCACCACTCTTTCTGGACACCTTACCCCTCTCAGCCTCAGTCTGCTCACCTGAAAAAGTACAAACAGCAGCAGTAACCTACTTCACTGGGTTTTATGAAGATCATGAGGCACTTGATATCAACAATTTAACACAGCCTCTAGCTCTTAGCTCCCTACAAAGATGAGCCATTACTCTGCTGAGGCTAAGAAAAAGCAAAGCACTCAAAGATCAAAGTTAGAGAATTAGAGAGTAGAAATGTGAATCCCAGTATGGGTTCAGGCCCTGATCCACCATACAAGGATGCACTCCTGGATGTGATGTCATTGTCCTACCGACACCAAGGGTCTGGGTCCCAAGTGCTCTTGACCCCTCCCATGAGATGCCATCCTCACCAGAGCAGTTTATTAATATCAACTCTGTGTCTTAAGCGGAGTTCCACGGTGACCTCCCCCGTTCTCTACATCTTAAGCAAGCAAAGGGGCTCTGGTTTCCTTCGGGCAGAACGAACCAGGGAAGAACTGTTTTAAACTAGACAAAGCGCCTGGGAAAACAGGGGAAAGGACCTTCCCTCCTCCCCCCTCCCCTTCTTGGTCTCGGGCTGCCCTCGGCTCCCCAGAGGGCAGGATCACCCAGAGCCGCTCCAGCAGGACTTTTCGTTTTGGGGAAAGGTGGCCCTTCCAAGACCGCTATCAGAGCTGCCTGGGGTTCCAGCCCTGGGAGACTCAAGAATGACCAGAGGTTGGGGGACGGGACATGAGGCGGGATATCCACCGAGCTAAGATCTAGGAGTTCCACGGTCTGCGCTGAGGCCGTGGTCCGGCCAAGGTCGCGCGGCCAGACCCTGTCCTGCTCTAGGGCGGGGTCCCTCGGTTCCCCGGGTGAAGGAAGGCAAGGCCCTCGGAGAGGCACTGACCCGGCTCGAGCGGCTGCCCCGCTGCCTCCGCCTCCGTCCTCATGACCCGGGTGGCGCAGGGCGCCCATGGCCCCGGCCCGGAGCTGGCTGCTGCTCCGACTTCTGCTGGGCAGCGAGCGCGCTGGGGCCGTGCAGTTCCTCAGCCGCGACTGCGGCGGTTCAGGGAAGGGGAGGTGCTGCTGGGCCACCCCAAGCCCCGCCCCGGCCCTCCCGGGCCACGCCCCTTCCCTTCCACCCACTTCAAATTCATGTCCGCCAGAGCCAAGCCCTCGGGGCTACAGGCAAGTCCTGCCCAGATTCCGGAAGCCCCACCCCTTCCCGAGCCCCGCCCCTAAAGCTCTTGCGTCTAGTGGACATCGGTTTCTCGGAGTCACTGAGCTCTCGGCATCCGCCAGGCTTGCGGTTTTGCGGCCACCGGTGTTACCTCAGACTCCTCCCTATGCTTCACCAAGGCTCCTGGCCTCCCTTTAGGGATCATCTACACAATGACTACGATACCTCCCCGTGCTCAGACCGCCCCCTTCCTGGCGGTGACTGGATCCTAAACTTAAATTATGAGGGGAAGTCCTGGACCAAGCCCCACTTTCTGTCACCCCGGAGAGGGCCCAGGCTGGATCCGCTCCCAGTCCGTCCTTGGTCTGGGGTGCTTTGGAAGTGCCAGGCCCCTTGTTCCCTTAGCGGCTTGAGGAAACCCGGTGAGCCGGGGGGTCCTGTCATCAGGCCACTCTAGTGCCGGAACTATAGTACCAGAGCCCTTGTTTCCGAACCGGCGGAGTAAGGAGAAAGCGTCAGCAAGCCTGAGTTCACCGCTGGGGAAAGGAAAAGGAGGGGCCCAGCGCACGGCATTTTGGGAGCGCGTGGTATTCTGGGAGCGTGGGGCCCGCCATTCCCTCGCTTCACGCTTTTCCTGTGGTAATATTTGTCTCTGCACAGAAGAGGAGTCCCGCAGTTGGTGAGGAGAGGCTGCAGTCGGGGGAGAAGAGGCCTAGGCGCCCTAAGGGGTTAGGGGTTGGAGAGGCGCTGCTGAGGAGCTCCGCTGGGTTTAGAGGGGAGAGCGGGAAGCCGGGTCCAGCCCAAACACCAGGGTCGTCCTCCGGCCCCTAGACCGTTGTGCTTAATTAATTACCCGGTTAGTCTGCACACCCTGCACTTCTGCAGGTCATTGTTTTCTATAGCATGCAGGCAATAATTTTGAAACCATTTCTTACGCATGACCTTCCTTCCAGAGCTCTCTCAGGGTCACCCTTTTCAACGTCATTTGCATCTCGCTCATTCCTTTCTACGTTGGCGTCTCTGCCTCCAGTCCCATCCAGCTCCGGTCCTCTCATGCTTTCCACGCTGCCGTACACGAAGTCCCTGATTTGTATGTTCGATCTACTTTGTAAATGCTCCTAGTTTTTCATTGCGTCTTTAGCTATAATCCTGCAGTGTTTCACCCACTGTGTTTAGTATAAAATCCAAATTCCTGAACACACGTGATGTGCGCCTGCTTGAGTCCGTTGCCTCTCAGAATTTAAAAAGCCGCCTGCATGATTGTGGTCTTTTAATGAAACCAAGTTTACCCAGATTGTTTTTCCTCCGTGGTAACATACCCACGTTATCCCTTTGTGAACACTTTGATACTTTATTTCTAGCGTTGGTGGGGAATCAAAGGGTTGAATTGGAAGCATAACCTCCTCTCTGGATTTCTCTGGGTCTTTTGGTCTATTTCTGCTATCACGTTCTGTACCCACCAGCCACTTGTGGTTGGTGAGTACTTGGAATATGGCTGGTGTGCTTGAGGGGACTGGATTTCTTTCTTTTTTTTTAAATTTTATTTAAATATAACTACATGTATACTATTGTACTTTACTCCTCAGGTCCATATTGTTGTTTTGAGGAAGATAAAGGAATGTGTGGTCGGGAAGAGGAGGGAAACTCCATTCCCATTGGCTTTCTCTGTCCCTCTTCCCCTCCTCATATCTTGCATGTGTTTGCCCCTAGATTCCTCCCAAACCAAGAGCCAAACTCCTTCCATAGCAAATGCAGCTTTGACATATTTGCAAGTTTGTGACGTGCTAGTCCTTCTTACCTCTGGAAGATAACTACTGTCTCTTTCACTGTAGAACTTTATTCCTGCCAAGATGTCTATTGGTGTGCCAATTAAAGTCTTACACGAGGCTGAAGGCCACATCGTGACATGTGAGACGAACACTGGCGAGGTGTATCGGGGGAAGCTCATCGAGGCGGAGGACAACATGAACTGCCAGGTATCCTGCTTTGTACCTGCGTCTCTTGGGGGAACTGTGGCTTGTGTCCTGGAGGACAGAAAGGTGGAGGTTTTTATGGAGTTAGTTTCTTCTAACAGTTATTTACTGTATCAGACACTCTTACAGTCTCTGGAGCTGCTTGTATGTGAATAAGGGACTTAGTCTTAATGCAGAAGCCTCATTTGGAAGCCTGATATGGTAGAACATTGGGAGGCTGTGGCAAGAAGATCAAGAGATCAAGGCCAGTCTGGTTATACAAGACCCTATCAAACACAACAACAAAAAATTCATTTGGAATATTTAGTTTTATCATTTCTTTTTTGGTCTTTTTGAGACAGGGTCTCCCTATAGCCCCAGCTGGCCTAGAACTCCCAGAGATCCATCTGCATCCCGGGTGCTGGGATTAAAGGCGTGCGTCACCATGCCCGGCCATGCCCCTAATTTTCTCCTGTATTTAGAGGTCTGTTTAAGAGAAGTAGTGCTATCCCTTTGGCAGATTCTTTTAGGTTCAGAGCATTACCCATTTTCCACCATACATTTTATAATTAGCAGAACCTTAACCTCACATACTATGTGTGCTTGCCTTTCTTAACTACCTTTTGAGGTAAGCAGTTTGATGATAATTTTATCCTCTATAAAGGAGAAAGAAGGGATTCTTCTGCTGAACATCACTCTGCTAATAAATGATGGAGCATCTTCGTGGTATAGCACTGTAGCAATACTTTGCCTTTTGTGTAGTTTCAAGTATTTTGTTTTGTTTTCTAAACAAGATCTCGCTATGTAGCCCTAGCTGGGCTTGATCTCACTGTAGTCCACCTGCCTCTGCCTCCCAAGTGCTGGGATTAAAGATATATGCCACCATGCCTGGCCTATGAAATTGGCTTGGGTTGTTTTCGTTTGTTGGCTTTAGTTTTCTTTCCTCCCTCTTGAGACAAGGTATCCCTGTAATTCCAGCTGGCCTGGAGCACACTATGTAGACCTGGCTGGCCTCAATATCACAGAGATCCGCCTGCCTCTGCTTCCCAAGTACTGGGATTAAAGGCATACACCACCATGCCCAGCCTGGCCTATGAAGTTTTACAGCATTATTTTATAAAGTTTTGGCACATGCTTTTTATTTAAACCCTTTGTTAAGAACTTGAGTTTTGGAATTAGAGAAGTAGTTGAGGTTGAGTGAAAATTATATGACTTTAGGCTTCTTAAGCACCTCAGGTTTCTCCTTTGTAAAATGAAGATGGTGTTATTTGTGGTTTTATGAGCTGTAAATACCAGGGCAGAACGGTATGTGCCAAAGATTTATAGGGGTATTCTTACTGCTGTGATCCAGTACCTGACAAAAGCAACTTAAGGAGGAAAGGGTTTATTTTGGCTCACTGTTGAAGGATACTGGTCATCATCCTGGGGGACATCGTGGTGGTAAGAACTTGAAACAGGTGGAAGAGGAGAACTGACTTTACAAAGTTGTCCTCTGTCTTCCACGTATGTGCCCCCTGCAAACATCGTACGTTCTCTCTCTCATAAATAAATAAACAAACAGGTAGAGCCAGGTTTGGTGGTGTGTGCTTTTAATCCTAGCACTTGGGCAAAGGGGTTGATCTCTTGAGTTCAGGGCCAGCCAAGACTGGATTTACAGCCCAGCTGGAAAGCTTTCAATCAAGGGAAAGGGAAAAGATTGGAGCACAAAGAACCTCAGACTGCAGCTTAGCTCTAAGGAAGTTGCACCCAAGGAAGAGAGTGGTCTAGAGGAAGCATAAATGGATTAGTTTTAGTGCTTGGTCACTGGCATCCTGTGAAGAAGGGTTTCAGGGTGAGTGCTGTGGTCGGTCTCCAAAGTAACAGCTGGAGGCTCTCAGTTCTGTACGTTCTTCCTACCTGTTGTCTCCTGAAAGGGACACAGCAGTACTTTCCCAAGACTTCCAAATATAATACCCACACCTCAGAGTTGTTATAGTGATCACCGGACTTATGTATATGAAGCAGCTAGCTCAGTTTCATGCATGTTACAACTGTTAACAGCATGTGGTTCCTGTTACTATTTTCCAGATGAGAAAACTGAAGGTTGGAAAATGCCTTATTTGGGATCATGCCTGAGGGTCAGGTATCCTGACTATTGATTTTCTGGGTTCATTTATTTGAGCATGCAGGGAGACAGACGCTATATGCTTTGCCATTTTGGGGGTGCGTTTAACATTTCATCCTTCTGCCATGTCCTCGGTGCTATAATTACTCACCAGTGCCACCCTGCCCAGCAGTAGAGGTTCTCTGAAGTCCTGTACTATTTGGTTTCCTTCCACAAGAGAGTCCTGAGAGCTACATTTGATCTGTGTTTTCAGGGCCTGGCCTTTGTGAGATGCCATTTTCATAGGTCCAGTTCTGTCTTAAAGCATCTTTGTCTGTTTTAAGGCACTTTAATTTGGTTAGTAGAATGAAAGGTTTGGGATATGGATTCTTAGTTTGTTATTCAACTGCTTAAGTTGTTTGAAACAACTTTATTAAGGCCTCAGGGACTTGGACATCCTAGCTGTACTGCGAGGTTGTCTGACCAGGTGACTTTGGTAGTCTCAGAAATGCAGCCGATATGATGCAAAGGGTACAGATCTTGATATTATCAGGTTGCAACCTGGAAAGTAATGTGACTTGGGTATGCGAGCTTTGTGCCTTCCTGACTTTCTGTTCCCTCCTAAATCAGTGATAAACTAAAAACTGTGTAACCCTAAAGACCTTTCAGTTTACTTGTAGATTCTGTAAACATGATCACATTCTGAGAGTCTAGGGATTAGGGTTTCAATATGTATATTTTTGTAGGGACACAATTCAGCCATTAAACTGCCCATGTCAATATAATGAGGCTTCACTGGGTTGACCAGAGCCTAATCACATTGCATAAAGCCCAATAGGCCTTGTGAGCTAACACTAGGTGAGCACTAAATGCACTCATCCAGGATTGGCATACGAGTGCTTCACTCATACATCTCTGGGATGGACTGTGAAGCTGATGGCTCCTGCAGTTTCTTCTTCTGTCTCCTCCCTGACCCCAGTCCTTTGGAAATGAAGGCATCTTCCAAACACCACCTCTGCATGTTCTTTGCCAGAGGTAGCTGAAATTTAATATTTGACATTTGATGTTGAGCTTTTGATAACTTTCTGTTATTAACATGGGACAGAGTCAAGCATGGTGGCATACACCTATAACTCAGGAGGCTGAGGCAGAAGGATTCCAGGTAAGGCCAGCCTGGACTATATGAGACCCTGTCTCAGAAAAACAACAGAAAGTAAGGGAGGCAGATTAACACGTTACAGAGATTTAGGAAACATGAGAGAATCTCATGAAAGAAATCACTTCTTTCCCTGTGTGTATTTTAAGTTAAAAATGGCTTAGAAAAAATATGAGGTCTTTTGTTGCAATGCTAGGGATGGAACCCAGCAAGTGTTCTCCCCACTCAACTCAAGCATAAAAATAGGGAAATGGGCCATGGTGCTGGTAAGCTTGATTAGAAAGCCAGGCGGCTAGTACTTAGTAAACCTGAATTCCTATATATTCGATAAAAGTACTTTGATGTCAGGCCAGGCAGAAGAAAAACATTTAGAGATACGTAGTATTCATGAGATGCAGGTATCTCTGGCATTCAGATCTAGGAGACCCTATTAAACGGTCTTTCTTACCAACATGCCAGTATAAAATCTACCTTCTTTATTTTTTATTTTTTGGGAATTTCACACAAGTACATCATTGCTTGAAAAGATTTCTTTTTTGAGACAGGGTCTCCTGTAGCCCCAGCTGACCTGGAACTCACTATGTAGACCAGGCCTTGAACTCAAAGAGATCTTCCTGCCTCTGCTTCCTGAGTGCTGGGACTAAAGGCATGCACCATCATGCCCAGCTAGAAAAGATTTCTTTTGTTAAAAAAAAAAAAATTGTTATTTTTACTTTATGTGTTTGTACTGCCTGCATGTATGTGAGTGCACTTGTGCAGTGCTGCAGAGGTGAGAAGAGGGCTTTGGATTCTCCTGGAACTGGCATTAAGGACAGTTTGTAGCCACCATGTGGTTGCTGGGAATCATACCTGGGTCCTCTGCAAGAGCAGTCAGTGCTTTTAACCGCTGAGCCATCTCTCCAGCCCCGAGAAGATTTCTAAAGAATTCTTTGGGGCTGGAGAGATGGCTCCAATTCCAGGGGATCCCACACTCTTCTGACCCCCATGGGCATTGCACAACACAGGTGCACGTACATGCATGCAGGAATACACTCAGAGGGGACTGGGAATATAGCTCAATGATACTGCTTGCTTAGCATATCTAAGGCTCTGGATTGCATTCCTAACACCACAAAAGGGAAAAGATGTTTCAAAGAAAAATTTTAAACTTTTAAGTTTTAAAATGAGGAATAATAAATAGCAATAAGCATATAGTTTTGGTTTTTTGTTGTTTATGGGGTTTTGTGTAAATTTTATTTTGCTTATTATTTTTAGTTTACGTGCATGAATATACTGCCTGCACTCGTGAGGTGCACTCGTGTCGTGCAGTGCCAGTGGAGGTCAGAAGATGGTGTCAGAGCCCATGGAACTGGAGTTACAGTTGTTAGCTGCCATGTGGGTGCTGGGACTTGAACCCGGGTCCTCTGCCAGGGCAGTCAATGCTCTTAACCACTGAGCCATCTCTCCAGACCTTGTTTATAGGTTTTTTTTTCCTGAATCAGGATCTCTCAAGTCCAGGAATACACTGACCCTCTTATCCCTACCTCTTGGATGCTGTGATTACAAATGTGCACCACCATGCCTGGCTTCATTTTTTTTTTTTTTTTTTTTTTTTTTTTAATTTTATGATCTATTCTAGACCATATTTACGTAACCTTTCGGGGAAAGCTTGAGATTTTATTATTTTATTAGGATTCTAATGTGCAGTTTGCCCATCATAGGTTCCTTCATAGATTCTTAGTGAATGTTAATTTTAATACTTAGGAAGTCATATTTACAATGAAAGATTACTGTCCTAGTTTCTTTGCTGTGATAAAAACATTGACTAAAACCATCTTGGGAAAGAAAAGGTTTATTTTGTCTTACCTCTCCCAGGTCACAGTTTATCACTGAGGGAACTCAAGGTAGGAACCTGGAGGCAGGAGCTGAAGCACAGACTGTGCTCCTCTGGCCTGTGCTCAAACCTGATTTTTTTTGTATACAACCCAGGGGCACCACCCACAATGAGCTGAGCCCTCCCATATCCTTCAACAATTAAGAAAATGCCCCACATGGCTACAGGCCAGTCTGATGGAGACAGCACCTCCTTTGAGGTTCACTCTACCCAAATGTGTAAAGTTGACAGCTGATGCGATCCAGCACAATTACTATATTTAATACATGTAGTTTTTACAAGTCAATATTAATATCCCATTTTAAAGTGGACATACATAAGTTATAAAATGTATGATTCAGAGGGGAAAAATATAGGTTGAGAAATTATAAAACATTGAAAATAAAATTAATAATGCCACTGAAGGGTTCTTTCCTATGCTGTCAATAAAAGTGTGACTTAGTATCCTCTTTCCAAAAGTGCATTTAGTATGTCATTGTGGAACTTTTTTCCCTTGATAAGTAATGCAGCCTCTACAAACCACTGTGAGCCTCAGGTTTTTTTACCCTATGCTTCTGACTGACCAGGTAGGTATAAATTAGTGTTCTACTGTCCCTTCCTCGGGTTTCATTGCTTTGTTCAAGCAACTCACAGAATTCAGGGAAATGCATTTACAGGTTTATTGTAAAAGATAGTACAAAGGATGCAGGTAAAGAGATGTATCCAGCAAGGCATGGGGGCAGGGTAGGGCACAGAGTTTCCACACCTTCTGGACACCCCCCCCCCAATCGCTGTGTGTCCAGCTATTTAGAAGTTCTCCAAAGCATGTCCTTTAGGTTTTATGGAAACTTCACTAAACAGGCAGGATTGAAGTGTGGACAACTATGTAAAGGTGATTTGGGCAAAAGGAGTTTTATTTCATGCTAACAGACTGGGTAGACAGGAGCACCTAGGCAGGACCGCATTTCCCCTATCCCCAGCCCAGGCATGACCCTTGCTGAAATGAAAGTCATACGAATTTATTTATGGACAGCTCTAGAACAAAAAGATGAAAATTAGAGTATCTATGACCAGCCTTAGATAAGGGAAATTCTAGTTTCTGTGGACTGCCTTGAAAGGGGAATTAAGAGCCTGGACTCATGAACAAATACTGTGTGGTACACTTCAGTGTTACTCCACAGTCCTGGATCATGCTTTCCAGTCTTGACCCACAGATGTCATTTCAGTTGAGTATCTAGCCTATGTCATCTATTGTGGCTGTTTAGGAAAATAGAGTAAACTCCATGTTCTTGCCTGGCTTTCATTGAAACCCAATTGCTTGGAGCCAAAAAAAAAAAAAAAAGGCTCAGCAGTTAGGAGCACTTGCTGCTCTTGCAGAGGACCAGTCAGTTCTTAGCATCCATGTTGGGTGGTTCACAACCACCTGTAACTCCAGCTCCAAGGAACCTGTCCCCCTCTTTCTGGTCTCTGCAGTTACCCACATGCATGTGTGCATCCATATATATGTGCACGTAAAAAATGAAATAAATCTTTAAAAAATAAGAGAAAATTTTAAATAAACTGTAGCTGGGCTTGGTGGCACACACCTTTAATCCCAGCACTGGGAGGCAGAGCCAGGCAGATCTCTGTGAGTTTGAGGTCAGCCTGGTCATAGTGAATCAGGACAGCTGGGGCTACCGGGAGACCCTGTCTCGAAAAGACCAAAATAAATAACTGTAAGTGCTCAAAAGTTTCTGCTTTTGACTTTATGGTGCAAGCACAGGGCCCTCCATGGGACTGTGCTGCTATTTGTCTGATAGTACTATAGGAAAAGCATGAGAGTCATAGGGAGCCTGTTGTAGAGTGGGAACTCTTGTCAGGTGATACTGAGATCTACTCAACCAGAGCATGGAACATCCATAGAAGCACCTAGATTAAGTTTAGGTGGACCTATGTGACAGCCTCTTTTGGAGATTCTCAAGTAACGGTGGGTATGCTGAGGGCCGGAGGAAGCTGTGTCAGCATGTGCTAGAGGAGATAAGGCTCAGCAGCGGCACATCTTGAAAATAGACACTTGAACCATGAGATGTAACATTCCTGAGCAAGTTATGTCTTGGGCAGTTAACAGCATTTAGACAAACTTTGTCTTGTTTAATTTGCTCTTTAACATTCCCAGGAATGGTCTATTGCAGTGGTTCAGAGTAGGTTTTAGAATCAGAGGCCTAGATTTGAACCCCAGACAAACCACAAAAGGGCAGTGTGACTTTGAGCCGGTAGAGTGAGTAAGGCAGGAGCCTCCAGGGACACATCTGCCTTTGACAGGTTGTACCTCTTCATCTCTCTGGTAGGGTTTCATGGAGTAAAATATTAGTCACCTAGGATAGTGCCTGCTGACTACATTCAGTGCTGAGGAAATGCTGATTTTGTTACATTGTATTTCCACTGTTGGGAGGGGAGGGGGTAGTTAACTGGGACTCAGAAAATTCTGGATATGTACTCAGGGTTACACCTAGCAGATGGCAGAGCCAAGTCTCAGAGGATCGCAGGCCACTGTGTCTTCCTCAGAGTCACAGTTGTGCCAGAATTGAGAGACTTGAGTGGGATGCACGATTTTCTCTGGTGTAGTCTTAACTGTAGCTGTCTGGGCAGTGGAGGTTCCAGTAGCATCAAGGAAAGAACTGACAGGGACTTAGGAACCATGAAATTTTAAGGAAGTGGCAATGGAGGCCTCCAGTGGATTGATGGGAAACTGGAGCCCTGTTGCCCTTGAAAGTAAAACAGGGAGGATTCTTTGAAATCTAGAAGTCATGCCTGTTGCTCAAGTAAAGCAGGGATAGCCACAGAACATTAGTAGCTTTGGGGTTTGTTGTTCGCTGCTGAGTGTTCAAATAGAGACCTTCCTGGCCAGTTAGCACTCGAGGAAAAAAGCAAGGGAGACACAAAACAAATCCAGGAGGCAGAGGCCAGCCTTGTCTACATAGTAGACAAGGCCAACTGGGCTACAGGGAGACTGTCTCAAAAAGACAAAAAAACAAAAACAAAAAAAAAACACCAAAAACAAGTTTGGGCAGAGATGCAACTGGAAATGATCATAGTAAGTAAATTAAGCCAGTCTCAAGAAGACAAATAGTTTTCTCTTATTTGTGGTTCCTAGATTTTATATAGTCACATAAAATTGTCTAGGGAAACAAAGGAAGAGCAAGGAGAGGTAAGGGAAGCAGGTAGAGGGATGTGTTCATGCAGTATATACATGCATGAAAATTTGAAAGTAAGAAATCTGGAGGATGGCATGTTTTTATAATGTGGGCTTCACCCATTCTAGATGAAGTTAGTCCTCTTCACCCAAAAGACAGCAATTAAGCTACATCTGGTAAAAAGTGGCACCCATTGAATTTGGTGGTGGCAAATTTGTATCACTTTCCTGTGCCCCACAGTATCCAGGCTGGCATCTGTACCTACTCACGTTGGCACGTGTGTCTTCCCCTTAACCCTGTTAGACATTCCTCTATCCACACACTTAAGTGGTCTCCGAGACTCGAGTCCTCAGAACTTCAGTATGGCTGTGGTCCTTCAGTCCTTGCATGCTGACTGTTCCTGCTCAAATGTCTTTTCCTACTTCTCCAAACACTTGCCTTGCACCTCCAGTATTGCAGGCCCTTGGGAACAGCAGGCACTGCCACATCCACTGCTCAGTCCCTAGTCATTTGTCCTCTAGAATGTGCACTCTGGGAGAGTCAGAACTGTATCTGGTGCACACTCTGGACCATCAAGGTCCCTTTCCAGTTTGTGTGCAGCAGATGCACGAGGGGATGATTTTCAGTTAGGGTTTTATCACCATCACTGACAGCTGGCCCAGGAGACAGCACAAGCTCAGGCTTGGGAGCAGATCTCTGCAGTTCCAGCCCAGAATCTCCTGCCTTCCAGCTGCTTGACCCTGGGTTTTGTTTCGTTTTAACCTGTAAAAATGGGGTCATTTATACCTACCCTCAGATGGTTTTGAGGATCCTTAAATGAAGTGCCCAGTCTCTGGTGTGCATACTAAGTGCCAACCATTGCTGTGGTGTTTCACCAGCTTTGCCTGTCTGTTTTACATTAGTGTCTGTTTTACCATTTCCAAACTTATTCTAGTTAGGGCTTCCCAGCTTTGTGTACACCAGTGCTGTTGACCCTTACAAACAAGCAGTTGATATCCTTCCAGATGTCCAACATCACAGTCACATACAGAGATGGCCGAGTGGCACAGCTGGAGCAAGTATACATCCGTGGCAGCAAGATCCGCTTTCTGATTTTGCCTGACATGCTGAAAAATGCACCCATGTTAAAGAGCATGAAAAATAAAAACCAAGGTTCAGGAGCTGGCCGGGGAAAAGCTGCTATCCTGAAGGCCCAAGGTAGGTGCCGGTCTTGTACTGGTTTTAGAATTCCTACTTCCCTTGTTGGGTGGGGACAGGGGTGGACCTGATGTCAACTCTCTCTGCTCTCCCCACACATGCTGCCACATCCTGTCCTTTGCTGCCCCCAGACTTAAGAAATCCTTAGAGGTGATGGAGGCCTTCCCCTGCTATCTGTCTTACTTATCTGAACCTAATAACAAGGCTTAGTGTAAAATCCCAAGTAGTCCCTCAGGGGGAAAAAATACGGATCTTTTAAGTGAGGTGTGTTGGTCCATACCTCTAATCTCGGTACTCAGGAGGCTGAGGAAAAAGGATCACAGTGAGTTGGAAGCCAGCCTGAGCTACATAGCAAGACTCTGGAGAGACAGTTGAGACAGAGAGGATTCCCTGTCCTAAGTGAAGCAGTCTCCTATAATGAGGGTCCTCCTTTTCAGAAATTCAATCTAGGAGGCCTGGGCAGCTTGCTCTTTTGTTAGCTGAACAGATGCCCCAGGGTGTTGATGAGTTGCCTCAAGCAGTGAGGCAGCATTCCTCCGAACCTTATATCACTTTTCCTAGAGATTTTATCTGTTCATACACCCCAGATAAAGAAGGAACAGTCTGAGTATCCCAGGCTAACCTCAAACTTGCTAAGCACCTAAAAACAACCCTTGAACTTGTAATTCCCCTGCCTCCACCTCCAAACCACCTGGAGTGTTTATAATCTAACCTAAGAACTGTTTTATTGCTGTTTATGTATGAGTGTATTGCCTGCATGTATGTAAGCGTAATCTAGTCGTGCAGTGCCCTTGGATGTCAGAAGAGGGTGTTAGATCCCCCTGGACCCGGAGTTAAGACAGTGGTTAGCCACCATGTGAGTGCTGGGAATCAAACCTGAGTCCTCTGCAAAAGCAGTCAGTAGTGTTAACCCCTGAGCCATCTCTCCAGCCCCTCCTGTTAATTTTTTTAAATTACATTTACATTTGTGGAGGTAGTGATAGGTAGAGGGCGGGAGAGAGCGAGCGGGTGGTGAAGAGCACAAGCGGATGGATGAGGCACCGAGGCACAGATGGAATTCTCAGTGGGATACAGATTTATTTCGCACGGGGCACCTTTCCCTCGGGGAAGGGAAAGATGTCAGCGAAGGAAAAGATGTCAGGGAAGGGAAGGGGAAGGAAAGGAAGTCAGGGGGAAGGGGGGAATGTTTGGGGGAGAAATCAGGGAGGGGGAAGCAGGAAAAGCCTGGCTCCGTTCAGTCTGCCAGGTGGGATTAGGGTCTGGAAGTGTTTACTTTTTCTCTCTTAAGATGAGAGAAAAGCTTGTTGTGATAAACAGCTTCTAAAATCTCTGGTTAACAGGTAGAATCTGCTTATCTTATCTTTGGAGATTAGAGGAGAGGCAGGCTGCTTCTCAGGCAGAGTTTGTTTCCCTTGACTCCAAAGGTCAAGGTGAGGTCCCTGTTGGGGAGGGGGGAAACTGCTGCTGTTTGGAACCCTAACAGGTAGGAGACAACTTGGAGGAGTGGGTTTTCTCCTTCCAACATGTGGGTCCCAGGGATTGAACTCAAGTCTTCAGGCTTGGCAGCAAGCACCTTTACTCACTGAGCTATCTTGCCTTCCCCTAGTTTCAAGCTCTAAACTTGACATTAAATCCTTTGGGACATGCTGGAAGTGGAACCAGCCTATTTCCCAATGACTCAGCTTAGCTGCTATCTTGGAAGTTAGCCCACATAAGGTTTTGTTTGGGTCCCTGAATAGTTTTGCCACATTATTAGATAATATGTAGTCCTGCTGGGCCTGGTGGCTCACACCTTTAATCCTAGCACTTAGGAGGCAGAGGCAGGTGGATCTCTGTGAGGGCGAGGCTACCCTGGTCTACATAGGGAGTTCCAGGCTGGCTGGGCTACAGGGAGGTCCTGTTTGAAAAAACAAAAATAAATTCCAGATTTTTGCTTTATTTTATATGTAAGGTAGCTTCTGTTCGAACATACTATAGTCCTTTAAAATGCCCTCTGAACACAGCTGATGAGAAAATCTTGGCTGGCAGTGGCTCTCAGGTAAAGTCACTTCCACACAAGCTTGACGACCTGAGTTCCATGCCCAGGATCTAGGTGGTGGAAGGAGAGAACTGACTCCTGACAGTCAGTTGTCCTCTGACTGCCACACCCGTGCCTTGGCGTGTGTACTTGCACACACATGCACACAAATAAAATGTAATAAAGAGAAGAAAATTTACCCTTTGCCTTCTTGAGGGAGGGCTGCCCTTAGCACCATGAACTATCTCTTCTATCCTCTCCAGTCAGATGGCTGTACACTAGAAGGTTCTTGGCCGTGAGTTTGCCCAGTTCCAGTTCTGACCTCTCCTACCTTCTCTTCCTTTCAGTGGCAGCAAGAGGAAGAGGACGTGGAATGGGGCGTGGAAACATTTTCCAGAAGCGAAGATAATTTTCTGTTGAAGAACTTTGTCCTTTTTTCTTCTAGTTAATCTGAGTTTGGGATGGGTGCTTGTGTATATGTCCTAGGTTTTCTTTTGACATTTCTCTTTGGATAGAGAAACTGTTAGACTAAATAAATCTCATTGTTTTGTTTGTTTTGAGTTTTTTTCTTTTTTAAGAAAATAAGGACTCCCACCGGGCGTGGTGGCTCATGCCTTTAATCCCAGCACTTGGGAGGCAGAGGCAGGTGGATCTCCTGAGTTCCTAGAACTGTGTATTCTTGATCTTTGACACATGCACTCAGTTTGGCACTTTGCTCAGTTAACCTTTGTGGAAATGCCATCAGCTCAGCTTTAACAACACGGGGCAACCTGGCCTGTGAAAATGTCTCACTCTGACCTCTGTAGTCTGTTAACCTTAGTAGTTTAGCGGTTGAGGACAGTGGCTTCTCTCCTGGATACACGCGGTTTTGTAGTGTACATCTCAGCATTGGTTGGCATATTTATTAATTATTAACACAGGGAAGCTAACCAGAAAGGATAAGGTAGGCAAATTGAGTGATTTTGACATAAACCCAGATTGGGGAATTGCCTGAAACATTCGGCCACTGGGAAGAAGTGTTGCCAGAGGTTCTGTACGGGATGTGTTGTGGTGTAGACTCTCAAGAAGGACCAATTCTTCCCTCCTTTCTCATTTCTTGAATCTCCAGTAGTCTTAGGTACCCCTGGCCTGAGATTTTTTGTCATAGTCTGTAACCACTACATGGCGGTAAACCAGCTCCTTCACGGAGCTTCCCTTTTCAGTCAGTTTGCAGAAGTCAACTCATTCCCCCAGTTTGGTGTCATCAACCTTAATTTGTTGCTGAGCACAACCAGCTTCCACCAACTTGACACATTGCTTCAATACGCTTGGATATAAGAACAGGCCTGGCAGCTTAGCAATTTCTCAGACCTAATAGGCTCTCATGGAAGGGCAGGGTCACTGGCTTGTGTAACGGAATGCCAGCATCCTTACACTCCAGCAGCAGTGCCTGCCTGCTTTCCTCAGCCATGGCTGTGGGTTGCCGAAAACCAAATCTTGACTATACCTGTCTGCCCAGCTGGCCTCACTAGAGATCCTCCTGCCTCTGCCTCTGCCTCCCAAGGCTGGGACTAAAGGTGTGTGCCACCACACCCAGCCTGGAAGTCTTCATTTCTAACAGGATCCCTAGCCTGTGTTGAAAACCACTGCTCTCAGAATATTGACCTCATTGAAAAAAGTTTTTTAATTACCTTTATGGGGGGGGGGGAAATGCATGCTTCAGCGTTTGTGTAGAGATCAAAGGACAATTCGGGAGTCAATTCCTTCCACCATGTAGGTCTCAGGAATCAAACTCGGGTCACTGGGCTTGGCAGCAAGCACCTTTACCCACTGAGCCATTTCACTGGCCCCCATTGAACAGATTTTTAAGTAACAGAAGAAAATCCAATAGTCAACCTGGCATCAAGTAATGATTAAAAGATTTGTCTTAGTGAATTTGGTTGCCTATGCCTGGAAGGCAGGAGACCAGGCTTTTCAAGGCCAAGCTCAGCTACACAGCAAGTTGGGGCTAGCCTGGGCTATGCAGCACTGAAATTTTAAAATCTTTGGCTTATAATTGTAATGGGAAGTAAAGGCCTGGATGAGTTGCTGAAATTCTTGCATTGTAATGCTTGCTAAGAACTTCGAGTGGTGCTAAGAACTTTGGGCCTTTGGACTCTGAGAGGCCCAGGGATAAGATAAATAAGAATGAGGAGGTAAACAGGAATCTTCCTCCACCCCCTGCAATTGCCCCAGATAGAAGTCATTGTTTTCCAAGCCTGCCTCATTCCTGTATCCTTCATGACCATGTATTACCGGTAAACCACTTACCACATATGTATTATTTGCCCTTTGCTTGGATTCCTCACATGAGTCTAAAAGCTCCCCAAAACTTGAACAAGGGGCTGAATGATCTGTGGGTCAGTCATGCTAGCCTGAAATTAAGCTCCCTCACCTCACCTGACTTTGGTAGTTGGTCTCTAATTTTTCTGTAACATAATCATGTCTTTACTAAGAGACAAGAGAACTTGTAATAGGAACAACCTTCAGTAAACTGGTCAGATGAAAAAAAAAGCACTTGTAAAATAGGCTTCAAGGACTTTCTAGAGCCACTCTGTCTCCTACTCTACTGACATATTTGTGGGATAGGCCTAGAGACCCCAGCAGGCAGAACAACTCAGGGGTGCTGAGGTTGTTGGCTATTTCATATGGCCTGGCCAGACAGGGAGAAAGAGCATCCCCTAGAAGGTTCTTAGTCTTATTCATAAAAATTTAAGAATGGACCCAAACATAAGCTTTAGGACAATTTTATTAGAATTTTAAAGAATTCTCAGGGCAGGCAAGGTCAGATGCTTGGCAGACTGGCAGCCACATGGCTGGGAGAAGGAAGCTTTAGAGAAGGAAGCATCAGAGAAAGCATGTTTAGAAAAGGGATATGAAGAAAAGGAGAGATTAAACTTTTCTAAAGGATTCAAGAAAAGTGGGAAGACTTACAGAGACCTACATGTCTGTGGCCGGGTCCAGAAGCTCTGCACTAGGAGGTGGGATTCCAGGCAGGAAAAGTTCACTATCTCATGTACTAGGTATTCCACTCATCTACTTAGCATGACTTAAGGTGAACCTGCCTTCCTAGGGGTGGTCCTATCACCAGGTGATTGACCAGTGAGGCTGGAAAGGTAGGTCCTCCAACAAATAGACTAGAGATATAGTCTTGACCAGTTAAATTTAGGGAGCTATTTGCTACTCTAATAATGACTCAGCCCATAATGCACTGACCATGCAAGCCTGACTACCCAAGTTCAATCCCTGGAACCCATGAGTTGGAAGGAGAGAACCAACCCCACAACATTGTGTGTGTGGGGGGGGGGGGGGGGGGCGGGGTAATGGCACCTTGTTCTCTGATGGTAGTATTTTCTCTTTGGGAACATGGATATGCTTGAAGCTTTATTACCCTGTGTATGTTTTTCTGCCTTTTTGGTTTTTGGTATTTCTTGTTACAGATTTTAGCCTGTGGGATGGCACACCCTTTAATCCCAGCACTCTCAGGGCAGGGGCAGGCAGATCTCTGTGAGATCAAGGCCAGCCTGGTCTACATAGTTCCAGGCCGGCTGGGACTACAGAAAGACTTGTCTCAGAACACACACACACACACACACACAGAGTAGGAATTTAAAATGAATATGAGTTTATAAGGTACTCTGATGGAACTATGGGTGCTGGGGATTGAACCCAGGATCCTTACACATGCTAAGGAAGTGCTCTACAACTGAACTACAGCTCAGCCCAATGTCCACATTTTTTAGGCTTTCTTGGAATGTATAAAATTCTCTGGGGCAAAGGTCCAGGCTTGTTTCAGGAAGGTTTGCCTTGAGGTGCCAGCTTTCTGAGGGCTCAGCTGGGGAGAGGGATGGGAAGTTAGCATTGTACCCACATTCATCTCTTCTTTCAGGTTTGGGGGGTAGATTTCCTAGTCCGAAAACCTGTTCCCTCTAGTGTCCCAACTTTTTGCAAAGGTTTGTATTGTGGTTTGAATTTGAAGTGTCCCCCATAGGTTCACATGTTTGAAAACTTGGTCCTGAGCCAGGCGTGGCGTGCACCTTTAATCCCAGGACTCGGGAGGCAGAGGCAGGTGGATCTCTGTGAGTTCAAGACCAGCCTGGGCTACACAGTGAATTCAGGCCAGCTGGGGCTACAGGGAGACCCTGTCTCAAAAAGACCACTCCCCTCCAAAAACAGAAAAGTTGGTCCAGAGCTGGTGGTGTCCTGAGCTGGTGGTGCTGTTTGAAAGGTTGTGGAACTTTTAGGAGATACAGTCTCACTTGAAGTGTGTCACTAAGGGAAGTTTTATAGCCCAGCTCCATTTCCTGTTCATGCTCTAACTGTGAATGCAAAGTAACCAGCTGCCACACTATCCTGCCACCATGCCTTCCCCACCGTGATGGACTGTCCTCTCAAGGGGTAAACTAAAATAAACCCTTATGCTCTCATGTCACCAATTGTCAGGTATTTGGTCACAGCAATAAGAAAATAACTAATACAATTTGGGAGGGGTAGTCTCAAGATCATGTGTAGATCTGAATATGTAAGCGGGATTGCTAAAGAAAATCTGCTTTCTTTGAAGGAGATGGTAAAGCACAGCTACACAGCCTGAGGACCTGAGTGCAGACCCCAAGTATCCATGTAAAAAGCCATGGTGGCCTGTGCCTATAATTCTAGAGCTGGGAGGCATAGATAGGTGGGTCCAAGAGCTTGATGGTCAGCCAGTTTAGGCAATCAGTGAGCTCCGATCCAGTGAGAGAGCCCTGTCAACAAAGTAGAGGGCAATAAAGACACCTGATGGTGCTCTTAGCCTGCATAGGTATACACATAGGCATGCACACACATGTATAACACACACACATACACAGTAAAAAAAAAAATTTAATTTTAAGATGCAGAATCAGGCTAGGCATGATAGCTGAGACCTATAATCTCAGTACTCCAGAGGCAGGGACAGGAGTATCACTTCAAGTCCAAAGCCAGCTTGGTCAACATAGAAAGTTCCAGACCAGCCAGTGCTACATAGACTGTCTCAAAAGGCCACTAAATATAAAGAGAACTGGTCGTGATGGCCAAAATGTATATTATATTGGTAAATGTTCATATGCTGTTTAAGCATGTTGAAAGCAGACTCTGGGAGTGAGGATGCCCTCCCTTGTCTCCTCCAAAATCCCTGTCCTGGGTCAAATTGCCCCCATAACTCTAACAAGGAGAAAGGAAGCCGTTAAGTATGAAAACACTATCCTCGAGAACAGAGCCAAGATAAACTATTCCTAACAGAATTACTATTGCTTATCCCATAATATAAAAATGCTTGAAGAGGGAACGGAATGGAGAAGCTCATCTGTGGAGAGTGCTCTGCTCTACCCAAAACCAATCAGGAACTCCCACATGACTGTCTCAGGGTGTCCCCAGTTGGTTTCTGCCAGCCGACTCTAATTGCCTGGTTTGATGTGTTATCTGTGTGCTGCTCTTTGTTCTTTCATTTGGAAACCCCCTCAGAGGGGACACTGGGCTCCTGATGGGGAACTCCATGATTGCCTCCACCAGGCTTCCTA